CACACACACACACACACACACACACACACACACACAGACCACAGGTGGTTTAGGAGGAGTTCCTTGATGGCAGCCAGAGGAGGAAATTCTTCTGAATTTGAAATCTACCTGAGGACACATTTTCCTTCTGTACGTGCATCACAGAAGGGACTCCTGATTAGACGGGAGTCTGAGGTGATGCACCTCTCAGACCAGTCGGAGCCCCCACCCACCTGTTCCCTTACGCCGTCAGAGAGAGAGAGAACAGGCGAGAGGGGTTTTCTCTTTCATTCTCAGTCTCATTTCCTCTCCGCTGGTTGCAGCAGATAGCTGTGTGGAGAGAACACTGACGGGGCATGCACATGGACGCGCTGACTAACGCGTGATGCCTCCTGAATTTCCAACATGTGTAATACTTCTGCATGTTGGAGTGGATGACCATCAGTAAAGAAAAATTCAGCCAAATTTCCATACGAACTTCCCTGCTGTCATTCTGTGACCTGAAGACACAGAAGTGATTAAACTTCACTTCATTGTTTATTTATTTTTATTTACTACTTTGGCTAAAACCCAAAATTATTCTGATGACTCAATCAAACAGTAAGAAGAATTGTAAAGAACAGAACTGCCAACAGTCTGTCTGTCTCCACTGGGACTCTGCTCCAGTCCTCTTTGTGCTGATCTCCAAGTCTTTGAGGTTTAAGGCATCCTCATCCTCTCTCTGGTCGTCAGGTTGCGACGCACCGACTCCTTGTGCTCTGACCATCGGCCCCCTTGTGAGCAGCTCTATCGTAGTGAATTACAAACAGCACGCTCACAAAAAGGTCTTCAGCAGGCACTTGTAATTGACCAGAGAACTGCTGCATCAGCTGTTCTCAGTTTACGGTGCGTAGGAATGCTCTGGAACATGGTAGGAGCCACCATAATTTACCAACACGTTTCAAAGGGAATTAATAATGTTGGACATGGCATTTTTAGTAAAAATGTAAATAAAAAAAAAAAAAAAACAAATAATAAAAAAACATATAAAATGTATTATTAGCATCTGTAGCTTAATGCCTGACTGTCTTCTGTCACATATTTAATTTTTAGCCAGAAGAAACCTATTGATCAAATAAAAAAAATCACTATAAATGAAAATTTGGTCTGAACTGTATACATACTACAGACACGTCATGAGCCCTGGACTAAAACACAAGCTGATTTAATTACATTTCCTCTGCTTTTCCCAGTTTAAAACTGTCATTTACTCTGCAACACACACAACTGTACGGGTGGAATACACTGCAAAACGTCTTCGACAGCAGCTACCTTAAAGGTGAGCTATGACTGTTTGGTTTCATTCCTGCAATAAAGCACCAAAAAGAGAAAAGGTGTGATTTTGATTCTCACCTGCTCGAGACTTCTGAGTGTCACGGGCCGAGCTGTAAACCAAGCGTGTATTTGTATTTGTATTGTATTGTATTGAAATGTGATGAGTATTTTCTAAATGGGAGGAACGATTGACATTTTCAATTGTGCACAATTTACAATGCAGTAAAGAAATAGTAAACAAACTTGCATCGCACTGGTGAGAGCACGCAGAATTAGAATGGTTCTGCAGTGATGTCTGAGTCCAGTAAAGTGTGTGTGAAGTGTGTATTTACAGTCAAGTAGTGGACACAAAGGATAAAATTGGCACGACGGATGTGCATATAAAAAGCCATTACGAAATAAATGACAAATATGACTGCTGTTCTGTCTCACTGTGGTGGACCAATGCGTCATTTATGAAGTTTACTGCCGCCCATCATACGCCAAGTACACGGAGGAATTAGTCACGGTACAGTAGTGATTTTGAGACAAGTGAATACAGTTACACTTGCATGTAAATAAACCAACTGTGTTTGGAGGCACAGCGACGACAACACAAAACACTGGAGGACAACAACTGATTATTCAGCAGTAGGACTTGACTTGATCTGAGTATTTCACCATTAATCAAGTAGTTGTGCATCATTTCTGGAGTTTTCTTTTCAAACATATGGCAGTAACAAACTGAGTCTGCAAAATGTGGGATTTTTTTTATCCACTGAGCTGATAAATGCGGGTTAATGGCTGTGACTTCATTGTTGAAATATGAACAGTAAAGAAGATAGAGATCAACCAACTATCCATCCATCCATTATCTATACACCGCTTAATCCTCATTAGGGTCGTGGGGGGCTGGAGTCTATCCCAGCTGACTCAGGGTGAAGGCAGGGGACACCCTGGACAGGTCACCAGTCTATCACAGGGCTACACTTAGAGACAGACAACCAAGCACACTCACATTCACACAATTTAGAATCACCAATTAACCTCAACATGTTTTTGGACTGTGTGAGAGGAAGCTGGAGAACCCGGAGAGAACCCAGAGAACATGTAAACTCCACACAGAAAGATCCCGGGTGTCCTCATGAAAAAAAATAAAAATAAAAAAATAAAAAATGTGCCAAACTTTACTCTGACATAAATTTCACTGAAATCCATTTGTTTATTTATATCTCCATATGTTTACTTAAAGCAGAACTTTCCAAAATGTATTCTTGAGCATTGAAAGCCTATTAGTTGTGATGTGAAATGATAGTGAGAGCCATGTAGAAACTGATTTACTTTATCAGGTATGGGTTAAAAAAAACTATACCAATTATCTGAAAAATGCTTAATATCAGATTAGATAATCATGATAACCACTTAATAAATAAACTCTTGAGCTCTTTTGACTCATAGTTGTTGCAACGTCTTGAACACGACTGAAGAATCAATCCATCCATCTTCTGCCAGTTATCAAGGGCCAATCTGCAGTAATTCACATCCCTCACACAAGTAATACTGTGTGGACTCTGAAGCCAAGAAAGACATAAAACATGTATGATCGCCTCCTTATGACACATTCTGAGGAACTCTCTAAAGGAAGGAGCCCAACAGACATGATCAGAAGCCCAGAACCACTTCAGCTTGAACGCATCATGTGAAATGTATTTACCAACAATACTATTTGTAAACCTTTAGAAAGTGCATATCTTTCTGCTGCACCCAACATTTAAGTGATTTAACAAGAGTTTATCACCGCATGCATCGTTTGTCGGCCTCTGTGATATCACTGCATTGATTCATGTGGCTAACAGCTTCGAGGTGCAGCACGCCGATGCAAAGGATGCACAGCTACAATAAAAGCATCTAACAAAACACCTAATGGCAAAAGAAAGTTTCCAGTGGCATGAGAGCTAAGGTCCCTGCTAGAAGATCTGAAGCAGCGATCAGCCTCATACGGCTCAAACGTGGAAGTTGGGCCTCGGAAGGCTTAAAATCAGTTCTAATACTAACTGCTACCCAGTTAGTGTAGCAAAGTGTTAAAAAAAATAATACGACATAAGGTTCAACAACTTTTGCTGCACAGGAATCGATTGAAATCCGGTTATAACGCTGTCACTGGATGAAACCGGACCCGTTCTCTTCTTTGACATGGACAGAAACCTCGTCTGGCTGATGTGTAAAAGTGAGATTGAGGGAAGCGGCCGCAAAAACACCCAGGTAGAAAATATTAGACAATGTTCCTAAAAAATGGCCGGAATTTCTCCAGAACAGTGGACTTCCTCCTGCACTGAGAAAACCTACTGCATCCTCACTTCTCCCTTTGGTTTACACATTAATGCTTTAAAAGGGTTTCCTGTTGTTGCGACTGGCTCTTGTGTGTTTGTGTAGGTGGCCATAATGCAGTGAATGCATTCAGGTTGTCAATACCACACCTACGAAGACTACCTATGACACGGTATATCTGCGGCTCCACTGATTCAAACTGAAAATGGGAAGTGCCGTCTTCCTGTCGGGTGCACTCAAGCAACTTTACATTCACACACTTGCATCTATAGGCCCCACGCACGCGCGTCTTGACGCCACTCTCGAATCACGTAGTGGTGACTGCCAGTGGAAAAGAAACTTTCATTACTCACACACCAGTTTCTGCAGCTTTCCAGCTCAATACAAATGGTTTTTTCCTGTGTCCTCAGGGATAAGTATAAAAAGGTAAGCGACACAACTGTCTGCATTTCCAGTAAAACTTTGGTAAAGCATCTCTCGGTGATCCGCTACCTGCCGCTGACAAAATGAAGCTGATCGTTGTTTGCCTTCTAGCAGTCTGCTGTTGCTCTTTGGCTGACACAAACGTACGGGACATGCAGAGGAGAAAATTACAAGAAGTGCTGCTGCAGCTGAACGACGTGAAAAAAAGCCTGCAGGTCAGTTTTATCTCTGTCTACATTTTCACGGCTTTGACGACGTGCTGCCGCAGCTTTCATCTCTAAATATGCTGCTCTTTGTTCTCTCTCACAGGACAGTGATAAGGAGCTCAACACTCCACCCAAGAACATTGAGGTGAGCAGAACTACTTTGTATCCAAGTTAATGTTGACAGCTTGGTCAGGGTGATATTAAATGTTTGTGGTTGCTTAGTCATTGTTGTTATTCACCCACTTGCTGCAGTTACTAATTGTCATGTGCCGGGTACTGTAGGAGGACATCAAATGATGTGTGAAGTCGTACAATGTGCTGATAACACGCAGCGGTAATAATCGGAAACGAAAAGGTTAACTTTGAAACAGGGTCATCTTCTTCTAGTTAATAACAAGAATAATACGAGTTAAGATTAACAAAGTCTAGATTTTCTGCACACAGTAGAGACAGTAGCCTAAAGTCCCAAATCTATCAAGATAAATTTTTAAAAGCACCTAACTATTTAAATGTACTGGAAATAATTAATGTCATTAATATCAACAGATTTTTATTAATTTTTTTATTTCAATGGGGCAAAACATTAACAGTGTTAGACAGATTTCTCAGATAAGTTTTGCACAAATTATCCACCATGAATTTGAATTGAATTTTTAAAAATAAGTCAGTGTTGTTAGAATTTCCTGCAAAAAAAAATAAAATAAAATAAAAAACCTGCAGTTCATTACATTAAATTAAAACAACCTAATTACCAAAACTGTCATTTTAATGGCAACCATAATTTAGAGCTTAAATGCATTACAGGACATGTGTTTTAATATAATCACACCTTGTAGAAAGCAAATCATGTACCAGGCGATAATCCCATGCAATCACGCTACTTGGCCGTCACTTCAATGCCTATTCAGATCGACGGCATTACTTGTAAATTCAAATCGCCCTTCTTTCTTGTCAGGCTTATGGCTCTTGTGTGAGTCAACTCAAGAGCTTGCTCAGTGCATTTTTTTCATTTTCTCACAGCTTCCGTTGAGTGAAATGTGATGAGTAATCAAGCAGAGAGCAGACAAAACCATGACACTTTCCTCACACCACCTCACCAAGTCAGAACTAGCATGCCAGAAAACCTCTGACTCAAGCTTCTGTTCAAAGAAAGAAAAAAAAAAAATGAAAAGAGAAAAAAAAAAGGGACAAATGAATGTTAAACCAGAAATGATGAGGATTCCCGAGTGGGTGTGAAGCTGCTGCCTTGAAAAACTTTAATAGCCCTAAAAAGTAAAATCTTACCAGTTCTACGGTAAGAGAAGTAATTTTAGTTCTATCCGTAACTGTGACTATTAATATTTCAACCATAAAAAGCTGTGTGTTGTAGCAGGTGGCTACACAAGATAGCAAGTGTTCGATCAGCTGTTCTCACTGCTTCACGCTGAAATAAACCCTGTAACCGACTCGTTCTCATCGCTGACATGCTTTGCTCTCGAAAAGTAATTTGACCCAGGCCAGCTGGATTCATGTGTGGCACAGTGCAGTTTGAGTATCTAAACAGAAGAAAAACCCAAAACTGTTTCATTTGGAAAATCTGTGATCAACATTTTCATTCAGGTGTGTGAAGGGAAACAATTCAGACCAAAAACAAAAAAAAAAATCCCATCCAGAGCCCGTTTGGCAAACAGAAAGTTATCTTTAAAATAGTGGAAACTTGATTTGTTCAAGTTTCAGTTTAGGTAAAAGTGTCAGTTGCATTCATTTGGAAAGTTAACTGTAGTGATAAGTCATGACGTGAAACCTACAAAAAGCAGCTTTCTTGGAAATGTTTTGATGGCAGTGATGGGATGAGATATACATATATATATATATATATATATATTACAGATGTGTTTTAACAGATTGTGAGTGGATTAGAGGTGTGAGTTTCACAAAATACAGCATTCCCCCTCTCTTTTAATCTTTCATCTGTTTTCTATAAATAACTTGAAGTGAATGAATGAAAAAGTTTGTGTTCTGTTTGGAACACGTTGGTAAAGTTTTAGGGGGATGAGCCACACATTCAGCTCTTTTCACTCTGTATAGCGGCAAATGTGTTCAGGGAAAAGAGGCCTGATTGGAAGAGGAAGGTAACACAGATACATGCTGCTTTGTATTCACGAACACTGTTTTCTCTCCTTTCATAACAGGACTGCTGCTGTCTGTCGGCCTTGGAGTGCTTTCGGGATAATCTGAAGTCTCCGTTCAACATGACGGCGCAACGCAAGCAGCGCAAACTTTTCCTCAGCCTCATGAACCAGCTCACTGTAAGTGAATGGGACGGGGTCGCAATCATGCACTACACTAAAGCTTATCCTATGCACAAAGTCAGGACTGCAGCAGACACTTTTACTAAAATGAAACATGTTTTCATGTCATTGCAGGTGAGAGGACTGGACTTCTGTAATGCAGGAAATGCTACGGTAAGAGAGATATAACTGGTTTTGATATATATATATATATATTCTGCTGATTTCAGTCATGAAATAATGTGTGACGTGTGTTGTAGCAGATGGCAATTAGTAAGATATTTTCTCCTGTTTCCCTTCAGTCCACTTGCCAAACCTGCGACTCCCATCCTAAGGAAAAAGCCCAGGAGTTCTTCAGCAGACTGGAATCTCTTATTCAACGGGTAAAGCCTCTGATTTATTTGACATGTTTCCCTACAATATGGATAAAATACCAGACCAGGTTGATTGTAGCGTGGCACATTTTTAAAGGAAAAGTGTCTGACGCTCTGTAATCCAGCCTGAGTCATGTGATGGTGTAAATCCATGTGACTGATGTCAAAAACTAAATCTACATTTTCCTCCCTCTTTAGGCCATCATCAAGCTGAGCATGAACTGAGAAGCGGTGAAGATCCAGTAGTGACCGGGGGCTTAATGTAGAGAAGACACTACGATGAAAAATGCTAAACATGTCTGTATGTTATAGCCTTAACGATATTTAACTTATTTAATATTTATTTAGGTAGTAGTGATAAACTCACTCAAGCTATGAAGAATGTATCGTCAGTAAAGCTGCTTTGCTGCCACCCAGTGGACTTGGCAGTTTACGATTTGTTTTTCTCCTTCACAGAAAGAGAAAGTTAAACTATATGTTGTAGTTCTCAAAGAATATCAAGTATATAATGGCATTTATACTATGTATGATGTACCTTAGCGTAGGACTTATTTTATTAAACCAACTGTACCATTTCAAAGTATGACATCATTACCACAGAGAGGTTTTGGTCTGATTGATTTATCTGTAGGACGTTTGCTAAAAAGCTTCAATCAGAAGCAGACACATGAGCATTTAGAGTTCTTATCAACTTCTCATGTTTATGCTCAAAAACCCCAATTTGTAATCTGCAGATTGTATTCTACCTCCTGAACCATTTCTTCGACTTTTTCTCCCTGAGAATAAACTGACATTGTAAAGAGAAACTGTGTCTCCCTTGTGCATATTCTGCAATGACCCATCCATCTATTACCTATACACTAGGGTCGCTGTGTTAATTGACATTGAATACTTTGAAAGGTTGCCATACATGTCATGGTTGTGTTTTAACATGACACCAGACAGCTGACCACTTTCCTGATTCAAAGACTGTCACGTGGAAGAATCCATCCATCCATCATCTATACACCGCTTAATCCTCACTAGGGTCATGGGGGGCTGGAGTCTATCCCAGCTGACTCAGGGTGAAGGCAGGGGACACCCTGGACAGGTCACCAGTCTATCACAGGGCTACACTTAGAGACAGACAACCAAGCACACTCACATTCACACCTACGGACAATTTAGAATCACCAATTAACCTCAGCATGTTTTTGGACTTTGTGGGAGGAAGCCGGAGAACCCGGAGAGAACCCACGCTGCACGGGGAGAACATGCAAACTCCACGCAGAAAGATCCCGGGTGTCCTCACCAGGACGCGAACTAGCAACCTTCTAGCTGTGAGGCAACAGTGCTAACCACTTCTTCACCTTGCAGCCCTATTATAAAGAATTGTTACAAATGGGCAAGTTGTCACCAGATGGATTTGTGTTTCATCTTCTCTTTACAATTTGCTTTGTTTCTTGTTTTTTTAGATCACAACATGTTTATTTGATTGTTTTTATTGACATCTTTGATAAACGGTGTTGACTAAAGGTGGGCTCACACAGCAAGAGTTTTAAAACCCTAAGAGATTTTGGAGTCGGGTCGCATCGCACGCATAAGTAGAAACTTGACAAATATTCTTCTCTCTAACGTCAGACACACACACACTTCCAGATATTATTCAGATTATCGTTGTGGAGGGAGCAGTCCACTACCTGAGGTGATCTCAAAGGGAAGCACATGGAAACCAGATGGAGACAACTTACTATGACACTGATACTTTGCACTGATTCAAAAACAAAAAACAACAACAAAAAAAAAACGTATTTCAGCCTCAATGACCACAATGTATAGGATTGTTCTGGGTCACAGACCATCAGATTTTAACACATAAATGTCCAACATTGGATCTGATCCTTCTGAAAGCAGTTTGGTTTAAGATTGGAGCTGTAAACTCCTGACATTGCCAAATAATCTGTTTGAACATTGGTTTAGACCAAAAAATAAATAAATCAGATTTGTTCTCTGGTTGTCAGGAGGGATGAAACAGGAGTGAAAGTACTGTGATCCCAGATTGAAGAATCACAGCAGCTCCAAAGTGAAATATTTACAAGTATTTCATAAGTGAAACTTCACATCTCATGGCACCAGGTTAAAATAAATGATCATGCTCTTAATATGAAATATATCTCATTCAAAACCGGTGTTACTGTTCATAACTGAGCATATTTTGTTTATGGCATGTGATATTAGTTCCCATCTAAATGAGCATCTACTTTGTTAAGCTGCTTATGACTCGTAAAGTCATCCACTAACAAAATGCTGAGATTCAATAATGAAATAAATCAGCGTTTGTCGCAGCCATTCTGACCACCGCTGACTTTTACTGCTGTTAAATATGTAATGTCTTTTTCAACATTTGCCTCCTAAAAGATATACTCAAATGTAAGATAAATACAAATGGTACCTACAATTATGAGAAGGACTGAATTGAAGAAGTTTCAGGCGACATACCAGAAAAGAACATTCTGTTTTCTAAAAGTCCTAAACAAGTTGAGACACCCGAGTCCACGTTTTGTTCCAAATGCTGCATTTTCCTTACCCACCACAAGAGGGCAGCATGTTGGAAGCAAGTGTTAAAGGTGCTCAATTAGGAGAAGTAGTAATGAAAATAATGTTTTAGTTGTTCAGAAATAATGTGGATTTTTTTTAAAGCATGTGCCATATTTACATCTCTTATTGAACTGATATAGTGTCTTACTGCTTGTTTAATGGACACAAAATATATTAAATCCAGCTTGTGTCACTTTAGAAGTTGAAGTAAAGAAGTCAGAGTAAAGTATTCTTATAACCTTGCTCTCTCCATGTTTGCTTCACCGTGTGTTTGTACTCATTACAAACAGGTGGCTTTACAATGGGCGTAGCCATATTTACTTCTGTGGTGAGAAAACCACACAAGCAAACACACAGCAACATGGCAGGTGTCACTATGAACGCCACTACGGCGGACTTCCCAGATAACAAAGGGGATTTCAGCAAGATGAGCAAACTCACAGGTTTTAACATGTTGTATTTGACACCTGTGAAATAAAAAAATACTGCAATACTGCAGAATGTGCTCATCTAACCCACGACAGACACATTGGTGTATGTTTTGTTTGAATCCCCCTCCAAAAAAAACCAAAACAGCAGAAAAAAAATCACAGTTGACCCACTGCAAAAGTAGAACACGCAGATCATGAAGGACCAACAGCTTTCTTTGTGTCATGCTTTTGTTTTACAGCTACGCACTGCTCCACTAAACCTTTGCATTAGTCTGTCTATTTGCTTGTGAGAATAAAACTGCTGAAGAAAACACACACATCGAATCACAACAAATAAAGAATGAGTGTGAAAGAATCTACAAAATCTAATTGTACGGAAGCCAAACGCTTCAAGTTCGTCAGTCAACTCTTCAATAAGAGGAAACAAGCGGCTCATACACTGCAGGGAACCAATTTCACTTATTGATAGGACACTAAAAAAGGGACGTTTTGAGCACCACTGCTCTTCATCAAATAAATGTGCAATGCACAGCACTACAACTTATGGCTCTGTCTGAATGTGGCCTTACCTCTGTCTCTGTAAAGACATTGACAATGGGCTGACGTATAATGACAATGCTTTAGAAAAGATACCTGAAGCAGGATTTTCTCACCTCGGAGTTGAGGTTAACACCAGGCCTCTTAAAGTGTTGTCCTTTCCAAAGACAAAAACATCATGCGTAAGCTCCCATTAGTTAACTCCCACATGTGGAATCAATTTTACACCTTAAAGATGGCAAATTTTCCCTTTTGGGTAGAAAACCCATGGTGATACTCTAGATATTATGATAGGTGACAAATTTAAGGAAACTGGAATAAACATTTAGCAGTTGTGCGCCTCTGCCAACCAGTCATTTTGCAGTTTATATCTATCGCTGTCTGGACTTGGCCTTTGACCTTTTGGATACCAAATGTCATCATTTTACCCACTTAGACATCAGTGTGAAATTGAATGAATTGTATTCTTGAGTTACAAGAAAAAATGTTCGACAAGGTCACAGTGTCCTATAATCACTAAAATTCTCTCAGTTCATCCTGAAGTTCAAGTGTACATTCTCTACAGGTCTTAATAACATTTATTACTCAATACGCATATGACATAATTTGTCTAATAACTGTTTACACCTGGGAGCATGGTGGTTCGGTGGTTAGCACCGTTGCCTCACAGCTAGAAGATCCATGGTTCGCGTCCCGGTTAGGACGCCTGGGATCTTTCTCTGTGGGTTCTCTCCGGGTTCTCCGGCTTCCTCCCACAAGGTGCAAAAACATGTTGAGGTTAATTGGTGATTCTAAATTGTCCGTAGGTGTGAATGCGAGTGTGCTTGGTTGTCTGTCTCTAAGTGTAGCCCTGTGATAGACTGGTGACCTGTCCAGGGTGTCCCCTGCCTTCACCCTAAGTCAGCTGGGATAGACTCCAGTTCCAGCCCCCCCCCAGGAAACAGGAAGGTGGGGGAAGAATGGGGAGAGAGCAAACGGTCGTGAGCGGGAGTCGAACCCACGACTGCTGCGTCAAGAAACTATAGCCCCTGTTCCTGGGTCGCCTGCTCACCTGGGTGAGCTACGGGGGCGCCCTACATGGATCAGGAAAGTGGTCAGTTGTCTGGTGTAATGTTAAAAGACCACTTGCCAACATTGCCTTGACATGTATGGCAACCTTTCAAAGTATCCAATGTTAATTATCGCAGTCAGCACTAATAAATCAGAGCGTTATAGAGAAGTCAGCTTAGGGACTTAGGCAGAGGGACTCTGTGGTTACAGGTGGTTGCATACTTATGTCACCAAGCCACCAATAACTTGTTCTCAGCATATAATAAAGTAACTAAGGGTTTTTCTTTTAAAGCATAAATTGGACAGCAATGCAAAGCAATCAAAAAGATCCCTGTTTCAGCCTACACTGAAACCTGATGCTTACTCTGAATCTGCACTTTCATAGGATTTGCCAAATGTATGTTTAAATGCAATCACTGATTAAGTGATAGAAAACTGTAAAAAAAATAAAATAAAAATCGGTGACTGTCATCACAGAGAAACGCTAATGTGTACTCAAAAAACCTTTGTTTTCCTCAGCTCAGGCTCAGGTTATGCACTTACAAAGGAGGTCCCTGAACTCCTGGATGTTTCTGTTCAGATGTATGAATATTAACTTCAGTGAATAGATGTGATCACAGTCATATACTCTGTATAATATACTCACTCACATAATTGCTCTCTATGTGATTTTATGATGTACACATCTTGCTGATGTGACATGTGCTCTAGTCGAGGCTTTTCGCTGATACAAATCATCAAGCATGTCACCCAATACCACACTAAATGGTCCATTGTTATTGCCCTTTCCATTACTACAAGGAGTGCTGGGTTTGCCGAAAAAGTGTGATGTGAAATTCACATCAAGTGACTTGTTCCTCCACTGAAGTTGCATAAACATTAATTGTAACTATAAAATTAGTTGCACTGTTTTAAGAGGCACATTTTTCCAATATGTTCAAGGCTGTAATGGCATCTGTGATATTTCCATCAGGTTGTTGACTTATTGTGACTAACAAAGCTGCTATGATTTGCCATAAACTGTACCACCACAAACACACGGTTTATAAAACTATCTGTGAATGTACAAATCAAAAACGTTACCAACATAGAGTGTGGTGTTGGGAAAGATCAAGCAAAAGCAGCCAGCAAGTCTGAAGCACATTAACTCGGAAACTTGTGCTTTGATCTTTTTCATAAAAACAAAAGGTACAAAGCTCTCGCAAAATGTT